TGTTTACGCTGAAATATTTTTAAAGACACATTTCTAGAGGCACTTTGTGATGGAGAATCCGAAAAAATAAGTTTCAAAAAGTTATAGCCCGTTTTGAGAAAGTTAGAGCAGATTTTCTCTAAACTTCTGAATTATTAACACGACATGAGAAAAAAACTGCACTAGTTCAGGAAACCATGTAGGCCGGGCAAGGATCAACTGCAAATTCTCTGTTCTTTTTTCACAAATTGAGGTCGCCATGTCGGTCAGGTAATCTGTAATAGTGAATTCTGTATCATGTACTGACGATTTGCGTTATCATGTAGGTCATATTGCCCCGTGACTTACTCTCATACCACCTGTCTCTCTTTCCTCAAGCACATATCCTTATAAGCTCTCCATCGGATAAAATTTCAAAGTTCGAAGCAGTCAGAAGAATGAAAGGCAACAAAATACAGAAAACTCGCAAGCAAAGATTATCTGACGTACATGCTAACCTGATAATTCTGAAATTCTCAATTTGCAGAATTCTTAAAATTCGATTTTCTTCTTCTAGTTTAATTTATTAAACCGAATTTGCTGCCAGTGCAGACTCCTTTGTGGAAATAATAGAGACAACAGTAGAATGAGCAGATCCGACTGTTACTATCTGGGTATGCTCAGACCAGAATGACTTGAACCAGTTAAGTAGAAGACCAGAAACATCGCCCAAAGGTGGTGTGGCACACGGTCGAAACCGAAAGAAATGCCAACTGCTATTTGATGATTATTTAGATATCTATAGATTGTATCTGTGACGAAAGGTAGTGCATCTTCCGTCGATGCATTTGGACGAAAGCCAAATTGATTAGCAGAAAAGAGGTTCATCAACGTTAACAAAGAAAGTTGTTTTTAGACAATTTTTTCGATAATTTTTAACAAAAAATTTACGTTCTTTTTTGTGCACAGCTCGAATTATTGACTGTTTCCAAAGACGAGGAATGCCTAGGGTATATTCCAAAATAGAGGTAACTGATCCGCTCTAAAAATATGTGCTCCCCGAGTTCCCTCACTTAACCTTTTATGTATAGGTGGCTGAGGTAGCTTCGAGTCATGGTATCTTAGCTAGCTCTTTGACTTTTGCTTCTGAATTAAGTGCATTGTCATTAGGTGGAAGAGACTCTACAGGCCATGATAATCAATAAAAAATGTTTTTAACGTCATTAGGAAAAGAATAAAGGGGTCCCACGAGCGTAATATGTCAAGGCATCACACTACTGATACTCATGTATATGAAAAAGGCGAAAGAGTACACATAAATTTCAGAAAAAGAAAACAAGCACCTTCGAAAGCTTGAATATTCACGTATAGCAGTCATACTTGCATAAATACTCTTGTTTTTTCAGTCAAACACTCATGTTAGCATCCACTTAGCCCAAAAAACAAAAGGTATTTTTTTGAAAATCTCAACGAGAACAACACTCTTATCCTCAGTCTTGACCTTCTTCTATTAAGTGTGAAGTTTTCGAAAGAAGGTTTTTTATGTACAGATCGTGCTGTTATAGAGTATATTTGTACTTCAAAAAGATTTTTAGAAGAACAATAGCGTATTTTTTCGTTTTCTCTTTCTCGCTTTTCTGTCTCGCACAACTGACCTTGATTTTACTTATATTTATCCTGTTTATATCGTCATACATCCATGTAGATATTATGGTTACTTGAGTTAAGATTGTAGATTCTTAAACAAATGTTTATTTTAACAATAAGCGAACATAACAAAATATCCCGCACCTATCGGTACAAAACACATATATATTCTACTATATTACGCCATGAAATAGTATGTAATATCGCGTCATGTTGGAATACTCCAGAATGTTATATCTTTTTATGTCTTGATGACCTAACAATAGGAATACTGTGTGCTTCCTCCTATTTGAGGCTACTTCAACTTATTTGATATTTAAGTGATCATTATAAGTAGATTTCAAATCAGGGCCGTAACCAGGGAGTGGTCAAACAGGGCACGTGCCCACCCCTTGGGATTCCACTTCCGTGTATAATATATGCTTATAAAACGCAAGAAAAAATTTATGCTCGACCTAACTTAAAAATGGAAATTCACACTAGTAAAGATGGAATATTTTTCTACATGCCCACCCCTTACCAAATTCCTGGTTACGGCCCTGTTTCAAATCACCTGAAAAACATCCAGGATTTCTTCAAAACTGAAGATCTATTAAATCATGCAACCTATCATTCGGTCAATCATTCTTCATTTTGTTTTAAGTATTCTAGACAAACTATAGAGCCTTGAGAAAAACGGAAACGACAGAAAGTCATGTAGAATAAGATTCAAATGTTCATTTCAACTGAATCCTTCACCAAATATCGGAATGATATTTTTCGAGTTCATATGCTAAATAGCAAGAAAACAGAAGCTCACCACTGGTTGGTTCGTCCAAAAGGATAATCATGGGCGAAAAAACTAATTCCATTCCAATATTCGTTCGTTTACATTCTCCTCCAGATAATCCCCGAGTAAACTGTGTTCCGACTAGTGAATCAGCACATTCATTTAATCTTAATTGACATATGACTTGATTAACAATATTTCGTTTTTCTTCTTGTGCTACTAAATTTGATGAACGCAAATTTGCTGAAAATGTTAAATTCTCACGTACAGTTAAAGTGCCACTGAGAATATTATCTTGAACAACATAACCGATGCGATATTCGGAATCATTTAATTGTGGCTCCCCATCAATAAGTACCTTTCCAGTTAAACATTGTCGATCTTTTCTGTCGGCCAAAATATCTAGCAAAGAAGTTTTCCGAGATCCAGTGGGACCTAAATAAATTTGACCAATATTATTACATCGGAAGAGAGAGAGAGGAGAAAATAAGACTTTCCAAGTATTGCGTTCCTTCCACTTTTAAATAATCCAGAAATGCCATAAACCCCCCCCCCCATAATAAAAGCCTCCGGGGCTTCTAAACTGTCCAAGCGTTCAAAACTTTTAGGGGGGGCTTGTATTATGGGGGGGGCTACTATTACGACTTTCGTACAAAAATTTTCAGAAAAAAAAGGAGATTTCGAATTTCGATGCTCTTGCCTTCTAACCACGGTAATCTCAATTAATCTGAAAAAAGTCTTTTTCGAGATAA